CTACATGGCAGAGCCCGAACGCAAAATTACTCGCCACACTCTACCCACACCACCATCATCATCAGCTGATATGAAAAAAAAGTGAACAACTCTCAGGGTCTCTATTTTCATAATTAAGTGCTCGCCAGGCCCTTAAATGACACCATATCTTATCTAAAGAATGTCGACATTACTTTAATTAGTAAGATCCTTGATCCTTTTTTCTTCCTGTGTACCTATTATGTATCATCGGAGGACAAGGGTCTTTAGGTCTCTCAAGATCTTTATTTTGAATCGTCTTCAAAGATGCCTACCATTTCTTCTAAAGAACATCGATTTGGTTTTGAGGATTATTTTTTATTATTTCCATCAATTACCTACACTATTATACGAGGGGACAAGGTTTTATAATCTGTAAATATCCTTATTTTCATAGTTAAGTAGGTCCTCAGGCTCTTCAAAAATGCCATTTCTTCTGAAGAATGCCTGTTTGGCTTTAAGGATTGTCCTTTTCTTAATTCCATTGAGTATACATCGTCAAAAAGAAAGGATTACGGCCTTCCAGGGTCTCTGTTTTAACTAAGGACTTGGGTTATCCTTTTTAATTGTGCATACGGAAGACGATGAAAGCCAGAGTGTTCACTATATGTTCATAAAGAAAATTTCACTCATTTTATGCGAAAAGAGCGCCCACCACATATTCCAATCCATTCTCAATCGCTTTACCAAGACGTAAAATGGATGCACACTATGACATGATGATTTACAGTTTTCCCAACCTATTTGGCCGATTAAAAAAAGGTAACAAGCAAACCTTTCTCTAGATAAAAGGATAGAGATACGTGAAGGGTATCAATTTATGATTCTTCTCTGACCCAGTTACTGGAGCATATAGGTTTTATTAGTTTTTTGACTGCCGAGAGCCCGAACTAATAAAAGAAGAAGGTTCAGATACTTAAGGAAAACTCTTGACCCGAAGATGTCTCAGTCTGATTTCCCAAATACGGAGATGTTTTAATATTCGTTTCGCACTTGTTCACGTCCATGTGTGTTAGCGATTCGGCTATCAGCCTTCAATCCACTCAAACTGGTAGACATGTACTTATTAGACACTCACACTAACACAGAACATGTTGTTTTCTATTTTCACCTTGACACAGTTATCCCTGGTAAACGCAAACGTGATCACTTTCTTTGGGCGGGCAAGTTAAAAACAAAAAAAAAAAACCGAACCACAGAAACAAACGAATCGTACAGTAACATGTACATAGTTATCAAGTAAAGACATAAACCAATCTCTGTGTCGATATACAAATGTACTTTTCACATACTTAAATCTATACGTTTGACATTTAGGCGGAAATAGACTGGACGATAATTACAAATACATCCACCCAACTTCATGTATCATGACTTAATTTGATAGTTGGTGGTAAAATACAATATGTATCACTTTAATTAAAGTTGAAGAATTCAAACCAAAACTATGCACTTTCTGAAAAGGGCATTGGAAAACAGACCAACAAGATGTTGACTTCTTGTACTTTGAGTTAAAACTAAGGGCGACTGAAAAACAAAGACATTCGGTAATCAATATGGTTTTCCCCAACAGTCCCCCACGACCACCGTCTTCAGCTGGTTAAGTGAAACAAAGTTCTGAACCATTGTAATTAGATACCGCAAGGTTTCTTTTCAACATTAATTGCTAGTAGTCAAATATGTTACAATGTTACAAAGACAGTTTCACAATGGCATACCGAGTTAAGACCGTTGTGCGTACCCATGCGTAAGTATATGTAATAGTGGGAACAATAGTTCTACATATAGTAAAATTGCAACCCCTTTTCTATGAACTATTTCTAACGGTCGGTCATCATCAACGAAACTAGATGTTTCGTAACGTCTTTTGGACAAACATATAATTGCCCAGAACTCGTTATTGCAGAAACCGGTAATCTGACGATCAACCACATAAAAAAAAGTGACCCCTGTTTCAACTATTGCATGGTAATGTGAAAAAGAACACATAGAATATTTATATGCTAATGTCATTTGTCGCCAAGAAGGGATAGTTTGATTGTTTCATTCATAGCCGATTTCAACCAAAAGGGGTTACTGTTTGAATGCGAAACTTGTAGAAGAAAAAGAAATACTATGGACCAGTATTAACTACTTTTTATTTGACACTCACTGTCACCATGTTAAATAGAAAATTTGATGGAGTAGCTACAACGTACAGAATCATTCATTCATTGTGGATTATCAGCATTATCCAAGAATACAGGTCTGGCCTGATGATGGTGCCTTTAAAAAGTGAAAGTCTAATAACTACTCGGATGTACTTGATTTATACAGAAGGAAATGATATTGAAGAAGCAAGTGAAAGTAGAGCATTTTGTCATAGCGTCTTCGAGAACCAGAAAGAGTTACAGTGAGGAAGTACATCTAGCAAGAGAGACTTCGTGAGAAAGTGGTATTTTTGGAAACAAAACATACGCGAATAATTTGATAAGGGAGAGAAGCACAAATAACACGAAAACATGATTATACTCTCACGTTGTAAAACAAACAATAAGAAGGAAAGGGAACAGGAAGAGGCTGAGAGAATGAATCTCTGGAGGTCCATTTTTGTGAAACAATTTTCCAGATTGCTGTCGGCTTTCAACAGTGTCACACACAAACAACTCTGGAAAGACACCTTTCCGATATAGACGATTATTATTATTATGTTATTTTATTGTAGTATGAAAGAAGACAAAACAAACACGTTGTTTACCAAACATTTTATGCGTGGCATATTTTACAACACAATTAGATTGTTTATGATAGTACATGTACAAATTGAACACAAATAGTTGTTTACTAACATAATTGGACGATATCGTATGAATTTGCAATGAATTCCAGAAACAGAGTTAAAAAACATGCAATTTATTATAAAGGATGATGTCACGCAGCAGGATCCTCTGCAAGAGAAACGTACCATAAATAATTATGTAACAATTTTCAATTTATTCCATCAATTTCTCTCATGTGATGCATCAATTGAATATGGAAATTTTTGACGAGAGTTGTTTCCCATTGAAATTGGGCCAAGAGAGGTCATATAAAGTAGAACATGCATTTCAGCCAAGAAAAGATAAATCATTTAAATGAAGGAATGGGATAATTTAAATAAAAATGTCCAAAAGATCTGGACATTCCAGAGCTTCAAACTGTTGCAACGACGATGGAATGAACCCATAACAGCAAGGTCTATGTCCTTAAAAGATTCTGTATGAGGATACCGAAAATCAGAAATATATTTGAGGAAGAAATCCCCATCTACTTCGTTTACGCAACAACTTAAGGATTCCTGTTACTGATTGTCAAATTCAATGGTGCATCAGGTTGAGATGCCTACACAGAGGATAGGGAAATTTCGCGAAAATGACCTGCAGAAATGAATTCTGAAGGCTGGAGAATAGCGGACTTCAAAGTGATGACCAAAGCATGACTCCATCATGGTTTCAGCAGTAAGAACTCTCTTTTTGCCTAGACCATGGGATGGATGATCAGCTTCAAGTGTCTATCAAAGACAGAATTAGACGAAGAGCTATCAAAAACGATAACATTCACAGGGGCGTCCCTCAATCTTCCTGCTTCTTCCTGAAACTGCTTCCTGAGACACTTTGTATTATGCTACGATACAATTGGCAAAAAAAGCAAATACTCATTCCAAAGCGTGGATCTATGTAATTTCGGACAACTTACTTTGTTTCCGACAAAATTACAATGAAGAATGTGCAATGGGAAGATTGTGATTGTGCACCAACAGCTTGGTTCGTGGGGGATGCTTTTATTAAGGAACTTGGTCGCCGCAGTCGGCGCCTCTTCGCGTTGGAGTTTTTTCTGTTTCCTCTTGTCGGACAACGACGCGCTCGTCATCTTTCTCCGAACGCTGCCTGTTCGGAACTGGAAACAGTATGAACGACGGGACTCAGTGCGCAGGACAGGTAAACGGCAACACCCGCCGTTACTGACCTACATTACCGACACAGGTGAATGACCGACCGAGTGTAGAAGGCAGCGTGGTGGACGGACGCGAGCGAAAATTACGCGCTCCGAACTGACGCCGACGCCGACCACGACGCGCGCCGCCGACGCCGCGCCGTTTTGGTTGCTCTGCGTCGTGTTCCGTTGCTGTTTTTGTAATTACCAGAGCGTTGGCGCTCTGCGCACTGTGCGCAATTTTACTACCCTCTACTCATAAACGAACGGGCTAATGATAAGGACACACAGAGCTATTGATAAATATTGTTCCTCACGGCGAAACATTCTGATTTATTTCGGAAACTGATGTTTGTTTCATGAAAATCCAGAACTCCGAAACTTGTGGCACTTTTATGAATGACTATATCAGGAGCAGCTGTTTCAGGATGGCAAGGGAAGCCCAGGAACTCTGAGAAATGCTACTAGCATTGAGGAATTTCACACCTGACTCAGGAATTCCCTTCGATGTATTACATTGTTATAGCGGAGGGTGCAGATAGGTAACTTTTACTATGATGTACGGCTAAAGAAGTCCTTGATTTAAAGGAAGAAAAAGCCCAAATTCTATTAGCTTGATAAGAAAGCTGACAGTCACAAAAATACACAAGACTCATGTCCATGAATCTTCCACGATATCCAAGGAGAACTCTTATCATTCAAAGAAGAAAATGCTATACAAATGTGTAGCTCCAAATATATTATATGGTCGTTTTCATGAACATACAATGAGCTAGTACAAGAAACGTAATGTATTATCTTCTGTAAGGAAGACTAATAAGACTATGAGAGGTCAACAAATCCTTTCGATTGATTGAAATTGATAGACTGAAAATCTCCACAAATGTTGAAGAGTTCAGCTCATCAAGAAACCAAAAAATTGTATAGAAATTCGTCATAGGCGCTACGTCGTCTTACGCTTGATAATTAACCAAACCATACAAGCGCTAATTAAGCTACTAATTAAAAGCATAATAAACTCTACAACTTACATTTTGCGGCTACAGCAGTTAATTTGAAAATCAGGTACACAATTTGTGAAGCGCTTAAAAGGGGGTGGGGTGTAGGGTTGAAGGTGGTAGTTCCAATTTATTAACTAGAGTCTTTTTTCACGTCGAGTCTCTTACACTTCCGCCAGCCTGTTCCGGTCTCATCTGAAACAAATAACAGCCCATGAGTTGTGAACAATCCCAAAAAGAAAAGCTTCTATTAATACAATTTCATATTTTGTGGTTTTCATTGTTGTATTATAACAGTGCGAGAAGGCAACTCGCTCTCGCTCTTAATCAAATTGAACCGAGAATTTCGGTCATATAGGCTGAATAACATTGACCTGTCGGACGAACTGAGTCAGCGAGAGAGCGACGACATAAAAAATAATAATGTGCCGAAATTTACTTATGGCCTCTGGCGTCCATTACCCTCGGGATCATTGGCGACAGCAGAAAATAATGAAGGAATAATAATAATAGCAATAACAGCTAAACCCGACGAGAAAGTTGAAATACGTAATGTAAATGTAATGGATGAAAAGTGGGTGAAAAAGAATTTATACATACTGGGAGATGCGCAGGAGTCAAGGACCTCCCGGCCAAGTGTCAAAGCTCCAAGCCTGATCGTAAGCCAGAGCTTTGGAGAACTCAAAAAAGAACAGTTACATCGACACTCATTAATACTTTAGAGAGTTTGTCAAGTACAATTATTCTTCTTTGAACTATTCAATTCAAGGAAGAACTACTAGACCAATTTCATAAAGATTATTCAAAAGTGTATTAATATTGAAACTCTTCACGCACGCTTTTGTGACCGTTGCTTGCCGCGTGAACGCAACAGTCTTGACCCGACCCGCTTCCTGGACCTTCTTCTAGTCCATCTTATTATTGAGTATTAATTAACACGACCGTAATGGATCTGGAGATCGCCGCTTGCATTTACGTATGTATTTGGGAGTTTGTGCAGAATACCCAGACCGTTATTAAACATTCATGCGCGTCAGTCGTCTATTATTTATGCCGAATTAAGCCCACTTAATTTATCCGACACACGTCAAATCAAAACTGCCCACGGTTCAAACGAAAAAGGAAAGAGGCAGTTATGATGTGGAAAAGGGCGTTATTTTCAGCTTAATGTGTGAGGACTAAGGAAGATTATGTAGTAAAAGAACTATTTGTACCAACATTGGATGATGAGGTTTAACAGATTATTATATTAATGAAAGGTAGAACAGATGTGAAGGTACGACACCCTATCTGGAGGCTGTAATCCGTAGATGACTATGGATTATCTAAAATTTACCATACACTTTCAGTAATTGGTTGTCCTTATAATGGTAAACATATTTGGAAGAACCTCTGCTGACAGATGCATCATACTCCTTTGGTGTGGGTTGCTCTCTCCACAGTGTTTATTCAGAAGCTTTTTAAACATCCATTTGTCTCATACTACTTTATAATCAGCGTGCAGGTAAACGCATTGTCCTGCCATTCGAATCGGCAATGGGCAATATATAAATCGTAATTTGTCGACTTGAAGGAGACCTTGGCTCGTTATTACAAATACGTATTCCATTTGGAATTTATCAATGTTCATGGAACAAAAAGACGGTGAAAATGTCATTGTAACTATTGCAGAACATGCATATTTATAGGGGATTACCATCCTTCTTTGTTTCTTGCAATCGATCCTTTAATATTGACATTGTTGTTTGTTTCACTCACACACTCCTTTTGCTGTAAATGAATTGTAACAGATGATGAACTTGTGATGGTAGAAACGGAAAATCTGGAATACCGCCAGGAAAATCTTGAAGAAGAACTGAAAGATAGCATCCCTTTTGGTGTAGATGAACAGAGGAGGAACTGATATTGGTAGAAACGGAAAACTAGGAAAATCGCCAGAAAAACCTTGAAAAACAACTGAAAGGTTGCACTCCCTTTGGTGTAGATGAACATAGGAGGAACTTGTAATGGTAGAAACGGGAAAACTAGGAAAATCGCCAGAAAAACCTTGAAGAACAACTGAAAGATAGCACCCCCTTTGGTGTAGATGAAAGATAACAGAGGATAAACTTATGATGGTAGAAACGGGAAAACCCGGAAAATCGCAAAGACAATCTTGAAGAACTGAAAGATAGCATCCCTTTTGGTGTAGATGAACAGAGGAGGAACTGATATTGGTAGAAACGGAAAACTAGGAAAATCGCCAGAAAAACCTTGAAAAACAACTGAAAGGTTGCACCCCCTTTGGTGTAGATGAAAGATAACAGAGGATAAACTTATGATGGTAGAAACGGGAAAACCCGGAAAATCGCCAAGACAATCTTGAAGAAGAACTGAAAGTATCCCATGGTGTAGATGAATAGAAGATGAACTTGTGTTGGTAGAAATGGAAATCCTGGAAGAACGCCAGGAAAACTTTGAAAAAGAATTGAAAGATATCCCCCCTTTTGATCATCTTGTGATGGTAGACAAGGAAAATCGGGAAGATCGCCAGGAAAACCTTGAAAAAAGTATGAACAGTGCTTTTTATGATACGAGGATGATCAAAAGTGAAAGATGAAGAAAGAGCAAGAAGCCCTACAAGGGGGCAACAACCGATGGATCTAACAACTGAAAAAGTGGATGGTAGAGAGCTTCCAATTCTTCCTCATTTTCTGATTGCGTCACAATCATCGGAATTTATTCGGGAAACGTTAGGCAATGTCGTTTTCATACACTCTTGGCTTTTATGGTAATATTCCAGTGCTAGCAAAAGTATTGTTTAAACAGTAACATTATAATAGAGAAGAACAGAGATACAGATAGGTATTAAATGTGTTATGCAATCGGATACCACCACAAACATCGAGTTGTTATTTCATTACACGAAGCTGTTCTATAATGTAGCACGAGCAATTTCAAGCATTTCTAACTTTCACTTTCCGCGGTAATATTCCGGAACTTCGCGATCTAAAAGAATACGTCGTCGTCCTTTTTTCTTTTTCGTTTTTCAATTCTAATTAGTTTGCTTGCAGATTGATTCGTTAGGGATTTTGGCATAAAACCAGACCATTCTCATGTAGTAGTGAGCGTCTCATTACACCTACCCACTTGTACTCGACTTATTTACACATTTATTATCTCGTTGCGTGAATCATCTTTACAAATCCGTGGTTTTGTAGATAAAAATATGTGTATGCATGTGTATAGGTATATCCATTTGGATATTGTGTATAAGTTGTTCCTTTCTCTCCTCGATTCTCGTGTTTCCGATTAAAATTTTTTCAAAAATAGCCCATCGCGTTCGGTTGGCGATACGGACGCGGTCAGGTATAATTTTCGCTTGTTTTCGGCACCGCCGCCATCTTTGAAGGATTCCCGGTTTTTCAGGAGCACGTGCCAAAGGTCATTGACATTGCAATATACAGATGGTGAAGGAATTGAACGCCAGTTGTAACAGCAGACAAGCAAAACAGGTCATTGCGGATTCGTGTTCAGAAAAAAAAAACAGAACGAAAATGCTTGCATAAAAAGGACCAAGTGCCAAAAAATCGCTCACGTGAATCTCTTCGAAGGAAACTAAGTGTTTTGGTTTTCGTTTTTCTTATCGTTAATATTATTATTATTATTATTACTGCCAAGTGCGAGGTGTAATATGTATGTAGGATATTGAACGATTCCAAAGGTCGAGCCAACTAAGTGCTTAATAAATCGCAATATGCAAGTCCGTGCATAAAACGGCTTGCTTATTTACCACATTGCTGAGCAGTGCTATTATAGTTAGTTCAGCACGCAGTAGGCTCTAAATATATAGGTCAGTGTGTAAAATTAACGGATCCGTGCGTTTTTGTGCGTTTGCGGCGAATTATTTTTCAAAAGGATAATTCACTTACGTCTCGAAACGTCTAGGGCGTTCGGGGAAGAACCGCCAGTTTCCATTAACGAAAAGTAATATTTTGTACGCACGCACGGTCACAGTCCCAAAAAAATAAGTTCTAATCACACTTGCACATCAATAAACAAAAACACACTGTCCTCTTCATCGCACCACATCACCGTTTGTTTTGTTTTTCTTTTTTTTTTTGTTTTATTAGTTACTATGATGCAAGAAACATCGTAGAAGCCTTAGCTCCTCGCTTGTATGTTGTTATGTTAACGAGCGTTGTTCACTTGTCACTGTTATTATTGTTTTTGTACCGTTTGTCGTCGTCATTATCATCAGTAATTCGGCGAGGGATGCTATGGAGATCGCGTCGCTACGCGTACGTCGCGGCATGCCGCTTCGCGCGCGCGTTTAAATGGCAGGTAATGATGAAAAGGCAAGTTTATTTTCGGGGAAAATCGGTGTTCGTTTGTGAGAAAAACTGATCGCCGGGTCGGGAAAACGCGCCGCATATACACCACGACAACAGTAAGCAGCGTGTTATACGAAACAGTGAGCGGCAGCGCTCTGTTGCTCGAACTGGCAGGGTGAATGACCCATGGCAGCGCGTACGCGCTCTGGAGGGGGGATTCCCTGAGCCGCGCACTTATTGCATCTCGTTTCCGCCTTTGGCGGACGGACGAAGCGTCGTCCCAAACATCGATTCATTGATAGCGCGCTCCGCGTTTCTCTTCTCTCGCTTGGACTGGATTTTCCCTTCTTTCTTTTGTTTTTCCAACTTTTCTTCTTGCGGACGACCGAGGAGAGGAGGCCTACTGATGCGGATACAACTTTATAGTACACAGCCCTTTCCGATCACCGATCCCATCGAAAAGATTCTTGAAGAGGCACAGGAACATTACCCCCTTTCACCCAACCTCTTCAGATTAAAGACCAACGTCCCTCTTTTGCAGATATCTGCCAAATCGTCGTCGGAATCATCCCTACATTAACTCTTTCGAAAAATTTCCTTTAGAGAGCTGTTAAAACAATTAGTAAATGGTCAGTTCAAGTAATAAGCGTTCCGACTATTTCTCCCTTGATCACACTATTTCCTTTATCTATAATGTGTGCCCTTTTAGAAAAAGATTTCATGGGATCTATCAAGAAGAAGAGCAATCCTTGAAAATAAGAAGGTGCAGGGGTGAAGAGTCCGAAATAAATTCTTATTTTTGTATTTCCGTCCGATATGAAACGGTAAACCGTTTGATTTTTAATAATAATTACTGTTCCATGAATATAACCAAAGTTATTTTATCGTAGTGTAATGAACGACAGATAAAGTCAGGAGTGAGTGACCTTGGATAAAATCACAAACCAAGTGTTATATTACATAGTTGTGTTTGAGGTCAAAGAAATCTCTTATTGTTTATCCATACTTAATTTATATTACGTGCCTTTCCCTGTGAAAATTTAACAAAAACGGGAAAAAAAGTTGAAGGTCTCCTTAAACTATAGTTGGGATAAAATCGACGAAAATATCTTAAAAGTAACGATGAACATGACGATAGATAAGATTCTACGTAATGTAGCTACCGAATTATCTATTTAAAGTATTCAAATATTCGTATGCCGATAATCAACAGGTCGTTATAACGTATATATTTTTATGTTCTTCGATACTATTTTCGTTACCGAGAAGCGTTTTATTTCCGGCACATACATACGATTAGTGCGGAAAAATATGCTTTTTAATGTCAACTGCATTTGTGTGCGCCCCGCTAAACAAACGGATTGTTTGAAGAAGATTAGAAATAGCGATTGTTAGTAATGGTACCTACAGAACTAATCAGTAATGCAATATATGGTAAAGTTGCCATGGAGCAAGAAAATGAGAAACCGTAAAGGAATCTACTTTGATTTCGATGGAGGATCGTCAGAATTCATGGTCCAGGCCATTGAGATGACTATCTAGTTGAACTGTTCTGGGTTTTAATGTTGTGAGGGTAGGTTTTCGTTCAAAAACGAGTTGAAGCTCCCACAGTGGATGCAATTGAAGCTGTTGATTTATATGAATAGAAGATTATCAGATTTCTGGAATTTCCAAATGGATCTCCTGATAAAACTTATCAAATTTGATATTCCTGGAGTTTGTGCTCAGAAGGGATACAGGTTGAGGTTATCAGGATAACTGGACAGTGTATCATCAGATTTAAGGGTCCAGGAGAACGTCCCAGTGAATACCATCGAATTGAACTCATTGAGTTTGAAGTGATAAGGGTACCAGAATAGAATTCAGCCGTGAGATAAGGTTATCAAGGTGGAACAAAATGAAAATGAAATTGAAATCTTAAAGAGCAGGTTATTGGTTTTCTTACATCATTGAAGTAGATTGGAATCTATTAATATTTGAGGAGTTTCTGGTGAAGATAATCCAATTGAACTTCTGTACAATCGAGGTAGTAGCTTTAGATTCCGAAGCAACAATTGGAAATGAAAAGAAACAGAATAATTCTGACAAGATGGTAATTGGAATCCACATATGAACTTAAGATTTGAGCGGGGGATCGTGGAATTCCAGGGTCTAGGGGCACTTCCTAGTGAAGACGACTTTCGTCAAGTTTGAAAAGCATTTGTGTGCCAAACGTTCCCCGAAGCAACAAACACTAACTGATGGTTATAAAAGTTCAGCTGCCGTGAGCTAAACTAATATGGATTTTTGTTGGACGAGTTCAGAGACCCCAACAACATATTTCTCCGTGACGTCACAATTTCGCTGTTCCCGTTGCGCATGCTAGGAAGTTGGTTGTGGGTTCAGGAGTGCGCCTGTGATATGGTCGAACTAAACGGCAAGGCTTGTAAAGTTTACTGACATGGGGAGCAGCGCCGTAAAACGCTTCATGTTCTCTCTCTCTCTCTCTCTCGCTTGGCAGCCACCGACTGCTTGCTTTCCGTAGAGATATAAAGTAGAAAGTGCGACTACGATGATGATGATGATGGCGATGGCCACAAGCGCCTTATTATGGACGGGCGGTTGACTGAAAACGAAAGTAAAACTGCTCTCTGTCCATTTCGTTTCCACGTTTACCGTTAGCTTGTCTGGAACACGGCATTTTTATAAAGTTCGCGTAGCTAACACACCAGTAATTTATTCGTTTCGAACGGATAGGCATATACTTTCACACCTCCATTGTCGAAGAAAAAAAAAGACAGAGATGAGAATGTCAGCCAGCAACAGTAAAACGAAATCCGAGGAAGCTGAACCCTCTTTGCTGTAGTAGTCGCATATTTTGGGGGCCCGGGTCCTTTACATTACTTCATCATCTTCATAAGGTCGTCAGTCCTAAGACTGGTTGGACATGCACCTTCACTCTTTCCAATCCTGCCCTAATCTTTGCATTTCCCTAAAACTAGAACAACCCTGTTCTAGGTCTACCTCTACCTCTCCTAACTCCCGTTTCTGCCTCTAATATGTCTCTGCCTAGACCTTCATGGCTAAGAAGATGTCCACTAATCTATCTCGCCTATTTCTTATTGACTTTTATAGAGTCCTCTGTTCTTCTATTCTTTCTAATACATCCTCATTTCTAACCTTCTCCATCCACGGTATCCTCATCATTCGTCTGTAACACCACATTTTGAACGCTTTTAACCTTTTTTTTCCGCCGCGTCCACTGTCCATATTTCGCACCCTTACAGCGCTGTACTCCGAACATACACCTTTAACAACCTTTTTAGAATTTCTAAATTAACCATTCTCAAGCATAGAGGTGACTTCTTTTAATTGAAGGCGACTCGACCCTGCGCTATCCTCTGTTTTATGCCCCTACTACTCTTTCCTCTCTGACTTATCTGACTTTCTAGATACCTAAAATCGGCAATTTCATCTAATTTTTCGTCTCCTATCTTTATATTCGCTCTTTCCCTACTTTTTCTTCTCTTGTATACCAGAATTTTTGTGTTACTTTTATTTATTTTCATTTCATCACTTAATTTCAAAAAACGATGCTAATAAATTAAACTCCCTAAAACTTTATGATAGAGCCGATAAGCGGAACTAAAAGACCGCAAATATTTTTTTAAATAAGTTTCGAGTCCTTTAACCGGGGAACCCCGTAACTGTTACTGTTAGCAGAGGATTCTGGATAAATGGTACTGACTCGTTCGTTTGTTTTGCGAGACCTTAGGGGTTGTAAGGTCGTGGATTGTATCTCTGAAAAGACCAGAGACAGGAGACTCAACTCGAGTGAAGAGTATGAGACGAAAAACAGAACCTGGAATGGTCCTCGTTTTTAGACCTCTGTGCTAAGGTATGTAATTTTCTTTATATATGTGTTACATGACATACAGTTACGCAATCAGAAGACCAAATACAAAAGACCTAAGACCACCCGTTATGGTATTCTTATTTCGTCTCATGAAACCTTACTTTCTCCACCGAGTCGGATCTTTTGTCTCTACTCTTCTTAATGAAAATCTTCTTTGAATCGTTCCCTTCACATTCGTCAAATCTTTGATTCAATGATTAAAGTATATTTTGCGCTATTAAGGATTTGGACAAACGCCATTTTTTATTGAATTTGTCAAATACTAAAATTCCTAAATTTTGCAAGACCTTAATAAAAGAATCTCTTCCATTATTTTATTATAGCGTGCCAATACGTAAGAAACAAAAAAAATTGCCAGATTTGCCAAAAATGCCAGTTACCCATTCTTATTTTAGAAATTGTTTCTTTTTCTTTTAAATGATTTGTAGAGATGAAAAACTTACTCGATTTTATGGAGTTCCAATCATGAAGCTTTTTCTTTAATTATTATTACCGGAATTGGGTCTAACATGTCTATTTTCACAAAAAGCCTCCCTTTTAATGTAACAACTCTGTACACAATTTCTGTGTCAAAGTTTTCGTAAATTCTTGCTCTGTTTGTTTGCATAGTATCTATATATTTTTTTACATTATGACTATATTTATAATCTATCACCCTGTATGTTTCTCTTTCAGAAATCAAATTAAATACTAGAAAACCTGCCTGTGGCGTCACCATACGGGGTATGTGCCAACTTATTACTTCGCAAACTTGCCTGTAGATGCAGTATCACCCACATTCGAAGAAATTATTTAGCCAGTTGTAGAGGCATAGATAAGGTAAAAAGTATACCTGCAATAAATCTTTATTTTTTGTAAACCATAAACGTAATTAACTAAATTAACGGATTGCTTAGTTAATTTTGTGATCATTCGAAAACAAATTTGAAGTGCAGCTGTAAAATTGGAAAAGAGGTGAAAATATCAGTGGTTGAGGGTGAGCATTCTTTTGTTTCTCAACAAACAGCAACACACAACCTTATTTATTTGTTTATTAGTTGGTCATTTTGTAGAATTTTATGAAAATAGCATTTCCTTAAAACTAACATTAATATTGTTTTATAAGCTTGAAAGTGGTTATTGGTTGTTCCAGGAAATACTTCATTAAGCTACGAAATAATAATAGGTATGCTTTTTTTGCATGGAAAGTGCGTTTGGTATGTTTAAATTTAATTAGGAACCATTTTACTACACTGATGTGTTACATTTACTGACCAATAAGTAATTTCGTTGTATTTTAATTAATTCAAAAGACGAAGAACGAAGATGGAAGATAGTGACTTGTAATAATAGTAGAGTTGCATGTCATGTTCATCACTACCGTTGGCTACTGATAATAGTGCTTCATATATACTAGCACGAACTTTTAAAGCAAATAATTTTAATCCTTGAGTCAGTCAGTCTTTAAATAATAGAAGACAGAACCAGTTGTATATCAGATAAAAAGAGTGACTAAAATTGACTTAGTTTTTAGGTTACAAATAAGAATTGTGAATTGATAAAATTGTTGGTTTGATAAAACTAAACATGGCCAACAAGGAATACTCGTTTCAGGAAGTTAAAAAACATAACAACAATCAGAGTACTTGGGTTGTCATTCATAACACAGTTTACGATGTGACTCCATTCTTGAATGAGGTGAGTGAGTTTATTACAAGAAATTTAATTACTGAATTATTACATATTTGAGTGTCTTCTAAAGCAGATTTATTATGTTAAGATATGCCAGTTTTGCAAGCAATTCATTTTTTAACATGTATGTATTTGGTGAAAATGTTATAGGAGGTAACTAGTTCAAATTTAAGTTACTTACATAAGATATCCAAGTGCTAAAGGTCAGAAAGATTATCTTGCAAAATTGTGCTACTAACTTTTTTTGCTGTTAAATTTTATAGTAACAAACTTATGTAGTTTTAAAAACACTGGCATACAAGGAAAATTATTCTGATATTAATTTAATTGAGAACAGATCAGCTATTAGTAACAATTTTATTATTAATGACAATAAATCGCTTTTTACACTGAAAAAAATTAAATATTTAAGGCTCACTAAACCCAGTAACCCAGTGATAAAAGTCACATATAATATTTTAAATATATTTCTGTTTTCTACTGAGCTTTAAGTACTACACTCTAAGTGTTAACTTCTTAATTGTTATTAAATTTTGTTTTTGTATTGTAAAATATTAATTATAAGGTGAAGACCTTATAATCCTAATGATTTTGTATCAGGAAGAAAAGGTGCAATTTATGGTTTCCTTTTGAACTTATGCCACAAAATCAAAGGTCAACCAGGCATTAAAGAAAGAATTCATAAATTTTAATGAGTTTAGTTTCCTTCTAATTTGTTATTTATATTTTAAAAATGTGTATTCTTGGAAGTTATTGTTACCTAACAGCTTTACAACATTTGCGTGTTGTTTTTTCGTGTCATGCCTTCGCACATATTTTTAAGTCATTTACGATTTTTTGTATTACGTAATTGTGTGTTTACGTTAGGTATTTGTGGCTTATCACTAAGAGTTTATCTTTTGACAATGATAAGTTGAGCTTTTTACTTATCATTATCTCTTATTAAAATGTAGTAGTTTTTATTCAAGGATTTTTTATATAGGTATATGTTTATTTTTAGCACCCTGGCGGTGAAGAGGTACTTTTAGAGCAGGCAGGAAAAGATGCCAGCGAAGCCTTCGAAGACGTGGGGCATTCCACTGATGCCCGTGAGTTGATGACAAAATATCGAATTGGAGAAATCGTAGAATCCGAAAGAAAGCCCGTTCAAGCAAAGAAAGCCCAATGGCATGATGACTCTGACAAATCGAAATCAGATAGGTAAATTATTACTTTCTTTTTGGATATATTGTATAACAAGTGGAAGTTCCTTTCTGGATTAATATTTAAATTTTTGGGGAGGTGCACTTTTCGTAAAACATTAATTAAAGTACAATAAACACTTGAAAGGGTTTCACCAATTACTTTTATTGATCTGGACAATTCGTTTCAATATGTATGATCATTATACTCTTCATAAGGGTCACATTCATCAAAATAATATTGACGAATACAATAAATGCAATTGATGTAACTCTTTCAAGTATTCATTTAAGTTTAACTGAGTCCCTTTTTCGTCTAATTGTCTAACTGAAATTAAAAATTTAGTTTTTTATTTAATTTTACGATTTCAAAAAGATATATACCTACTTAGCTCATTGTTTAACTTTTTTGAATCAATCCCACTGGTTTTGCTTTTTTTGCAATAATGGTAATAACGCATGCCACATTAGCTTAAACAAATAAAATGCTAATGCAAACTAATTATTTTCAAGGTTTTTTTTGATTGCTAATTGTGTAGAAAACGATCCGTGTAATATACAACTGTTGAAAAACCTAATATTAATTCTGACTACACACTTTCTTGCATGCTCGAAAAATCGTATACAATAATGTCTTATCTAAAACAATTCACCTAGATAGAGTTTAAACACTACCGGAGAAATAAAATAATGTCAGACAATAAATTATAGACTCATAAGAAAAAAAGCTGTTAATTTAATAAAGAAATTATACATTTTTAAAATGATTAATTAATGGTTAAAATTTCTTGTTTTTCAGCTCCATGAGGTCTTGGTTACTGCCTGTAATTCTGGGCGTAGTTGCTACTCTAATTTATCGTTTCTATTTCCAGTAGGCTTTAATTTTTTGATTATTTTTGAACACAATATCATACACACTATTGTAGTAAAGATAACGAGAACAAAACAAAAAACGAATCAAAAGTGATGTAAACTTTTCCAACTAATTAAATTAATATCATGTGCAATTTTTTAGATTGTACGTATAAATGAATCATTGACACCTATTAGTTTAGATTATATTATATAGATTTATACATATATGTATAAAAACATAATGTTAATGTCTGTGTGTGTGTGTTGGGGTTATTCTATGGGACCATTTGTGTTTAATTTCCAAATTAGTTAGTACGTTTTTATTTTATATTTTATTATAATTCCATATGTGCTATTAGTACGTCTGTTTTTTTAAAAAAGGAAAAAGGATTGTAGTATTTCAGCTTCTAAACAATAAATTTACAGGTCNAATTCGTGATTTTTTTTTTAATTTAAGGAAAAAATTTACAAAAATTAAAATTATATTTTTAAAATAATCGCTTATAAAAATTCAACATTTGACTTGTATAAAATGTTCCTTCCTTTACATTTTCTCTACAAAGGTAAAAACATCACTTGCTTGGCATGTATACAATTTTGTTTCATTTACTGTCGAAATTTTAGTGTTTAATTGAGTTTTATCTCTATAAAAAGTAATTTTATAATAATTTTCCAAGTATTTCTTGTCTTTAATTGCTTTTACAATTGCCAAATTGTCTTCAAAAAACAGATTTCCATATATAAAACTAACATTAAATTCCTTAACTATAGTGTATAATGAACTAAACAATTTTAAACAATGATTTTGCAAAGAAACAAAGTTGTTAGTATCTGAACCTATTTTTTCTTCCCAATAAAATGCAGAGAGACTATCTAATAAAATTAAACCAATATTAGTATTACTTAAGAGTATATTTTCTATGTTAAGAATTGTCATATGTAATTGTTGACCATTGTAACAGTTGAGAATAATAAGTTTCTCCAGACATGATTCTAAAACTTCATTAACTTTACTTTTGTCCTTTACAGTTCCTTTGATAATCCGTTTAAGTAAAGATGCAAAGTGCACTAAATTGAAATGATGTTCTGTGTTAATAATAATAGTACCACAGTCTTTACCACTTAAATAGTTATCAGGTAAAACACTTCTCAATAGTAACTCCATTATAAAACCCCTTTTAATCTCACAATCATCCTCTGTTATTTCTATAATTGTGGGAACATCTTTGATATGATTTGGAATTATTGGATGTAATTCACCTATGCTAGGACGAGAGCTTATTCGTTGAAAGAGTTGGATACCTGATTCCACTTTATTCTCCATGGTAAACACAGCAGTCTTTATAAGAAGCACTGCACTATATCGTCATATTTCAATGTTTGCTTATTTACCTGTTTTGAGAAAATTATTACTTCAATTAGTCAAGAAATAATTTAGTTAAGAAAAAGTAGCAATATCTATGTAGTAAAAGCTTTCTTACTGCTATAAACAGCAATAAATGTGAAAACTGAACCAGAGACCTATTAAAACTGTTAATGTCAAGGCTGTGTTTCCAAAAGCACTTATTTTTTGTGAGCAAAACATAAAGGACTGCTAATAGTTCATTAATATCTTTTTAAATTTATTCAATTACCTGAATTAATTATAAAATATATGAAATTTTGAACAAAAACAACGTAAATAAACAATAACATAACCCTAAAACACACAACTGTCATCCAAACAGTGTTCGATAATACAGAAAATAATAATTAATACTAATATTAAGTATTTTATTTCAAAAAATTGTAATATAGTTTGAAAGCGTTACAATAAAACCACTGCAAATACTTATTTTTAATTATTGCATTGATTACCAAGTTAATTTAGACTTAGATCAGTCTTAAAATTCATTCAGTTGACTGATTAATTGATATGAACGCAACTCGACTTTTTAATTAATAACACTAAATATTAGGAGCGCAGAAATCAAACCCATCACAGCTTATGCTATCCTAATACAAAAACGCCAATTTTCGATGTCTACGAAAATGTGAATACGAGTGTCCAGCACCTTCACCATTTATTCTTTCAATTATGAAATCTGTCTTTTTATTGGAAACTTAACGACCTACATACTCTCTTGACTAATAAACATGCTTTGTCTAGTAATTAAGATAGATTAATATTAATTTACTTTTTTTCCTCGTTAATTAATAGATGTAAAAAATCAAATCTACGCGTTAGTGAGGTATTTCTTATCTACACTTACTTTATTATCAACAAAATTTACTACGCATTTTCCGTTTGTTTTAAACGAATTAAAGACAATTGTAAAATTAAAACTTTTATTTTTATTTTAATTGTATTTTACAAATTGACTTAAATTATTTAAGACATAAAATTAT